AGTAGCAAAGTCAAAGTTTCATAATACATTGTATACTGTAACATTATTATAGTAATGTTTGTCACGCAAGTAGAAAAAAATCTTCATATCCAATAAATAAATCATTGTCTTGACTGTATTTTCGTTGGTTTTTTATCACAAATATCACTCAACTATTCATAGATCATTATAATAAATAATTATAGTTTTCCTCGAAATTGTATTCGATATAAGTATATCTATTTGTATCATTATTATCATTATTATTTTGGAAGCAAACTGGTTTTTAGCAGTATATATCAATAGTATGTTTTATTTTCACTTTTTATTTATTATTTCTGAAACCTGTTTCTCTAGAAAGATGAATTAGATCTATATGTTAGTTGGAGGTTTACAAAATAATATAACGGAAGCCTTTAAGGTAATAATTTACCGTTTACATGCTTGGTGATACAATAAAATGTATTGAAAGACATGGACAAAAAGTTAAAAAGTGTTATCGATTATTTATAATGAAGACATTCTGGGCAAATCGTGCATTTACATTTAAATAAGATCTAGTCTTACTAAAAACAATACTAGTTTAATGTGTCTAGCTTAAATACTGATCTCTTCTCGTTAATCAATTTAAAATTTATTTAATTTTATTTCTTTAAATGGAATAAACACATAGACCGACATATTTATTATTGTTGTGTCATTTAACGGAACCTTTAGATCTTTTGAACGTTTGATAATAAATAAAAAATGCCGTGAAAAGCTATCTTATTGTTTGTTTTTCACGACGCTGAGAGACATAAGTATATTGCATCTTTATTCCACTTTGATTGCACATAGTCTTTTAATATTGATCGAGGATAAGATGTTCGAATGGATAAAGATATCATTGTGATTAAATGACCTTTAAAAGGGTGCACGTTTGTTAATTAAACATAATCATAAGCTGTCATCCCGGCGTTATATTTACTAAGCATGTAGAAAGATCAAAACAATGATTTTACTATTTTCCAAATAATGGCAAAGAATACAATGGCCGATTTAAAAAGATTTTTGTATGTTATAATTAAGTAAAACTTCAACTAGAAAACCTTTCGTCTAGTGATTTTCTGTAATTATCTATGAAATGTAGTGAAAAGGAACTGTTTTTACCATTTTCTGGTCAATTAGATGCACCGCTTCCAACATTTTCGTGTCGATAAGTGAAAAAGCCCGTTAAACTGTGCTTGAGGACGTGATAGGTATTGCACAACACATGATTTGTAATAAACAGGCTGAAAAATGGTATGTGCTTTCAACTACTTGTTTTGTTCCAGTTTTGTATTGTGTTAAGGGGTATTGAACTCATGATATTAAAAGACGACGAATCGTTCACCCACGACATAACTGTCAAAGAATAAAACAAATAATATTTATTGTTTCGCAGAAATTTTATCAATTCATTATTGTAAGGGATTTGACAGAAATTACCCTATCTAAATGATGTGAAGAAATACAAGAACATTGTATGCGTTAATAGTAAAAGTTATATATGAAGAAGTAAATTTAAAAAGTCCTGAAAACATAGGCTAGAAATAGATTGATTGTAAAGAAATTAAATAGAATAACTAAGATGATGGTAAGAGTCTTAGACTGCTGATCAAACATCAATATATTGAGATCAAAGACTGGAATATTCCCAGGTTGTTTATACGAACATACGTCTGTTTATAACACTTTAGTACCTTTTACCTGCTTTATATTGTTGTATTATTATTTTAGCTACATTTGTTCTTCTAGATATTATATGTTCTTATCTTATCTCTTATCACCTTGCCGTTTGCATGCTTAATATTTTTTAGAGAAATGAACAGACAAATTAAATAAAATAAATTGGCGTTGCTTAACAATTGTTAAAGAGATCGGGAAAGAGGAATACACACAGTAAAAATGTATATTCCTCAAGCACAAGTAATTATAATTATAAAATATGAAATAGTTAACATATTAAGATTTGAAGATTTGATTGTATACTAGATCTACAAGAAATCGATTACTAAAATAAACATTGTTCTATTGCTTTATACAAATTATTTACTACTTTTCAAAAGAAAAAAAAATGTATTACTTTTATAATTCTTCCGTAACATATTCATCTCACTGTGTTAATATACATCACTGGTTGGGATTTGAGAGTTTCCGATACATTCATATTTACAACAGCGAAATTCTCTTCTGAGACTTTTCAAATAGTTCTGCTGAACAGTCTATATCGCATTGGCGTAACGGAGTCTGTAATATGCATGTTGCCTATTGTGAAATATTGGAAATAAAACAATAAGGGAGGATAAGTTTCTTAAATAATTAAATGTGAAAATATCAGGCAAATTGGATTAACGTTATTTAAGGTAAAGATTTTCAGCTCAATGAAAATTTTGTGTAAAGTTTTGAGCAATCATTATACCTGCAAATTATGCTTCGAAATATATATTAGGCTGTAACAATTTATTTTCATTAAACATCAACCTTTAAATTAATTAAATATGAATTCGGTAATTATTTAATTTAAAATATATGCAAGGTAAAAAACATTTTAATTTGGCTATTCAACACGAAGACACGTCATAAGACGACGTCTTCTAAAATGTATTTGTTTGATGCTCGTAGTTCTTTCTATTATTTTCATTTCGCACATCACTTAAAGTTAAAATCTTTAACTTTCAAGTTTCATTTATAAGTTGCTGTAATATCTATATCTATTTTCAGTTGTTTTTAAAGTACATACACAGATAAAATAAATTGCAAACGAATGCTTAAACAGTTTAAGATAATAAAAAGTGAATAAATAATAACAATATTATTAGACATGATACACAAGAACTAATGATTTTTAGTGTGCACTTTTTATTCATGTCAAATGAATGAATACTAGTTTTTAACAATCTTTATTAATTACTAAGTAATAATGTTTCCTGTTATGTTACAATATGCTTGGTTATATGTTAACTAAAGTGTTGAGTATGAAATGTAGTGAAAACCAACTTAGTTCTCACTAGTAACATAAAAAATTGTACTAAACAAGAGAAACCATAAGCAATTTTCATATCGTCATACATTTACTAAAGATGCTCATTTTCATATAATATACACAATTTTACTGTTTGCTGTTTTTTATCATGGCAAATGATACAGACATTTTACCCGCAATATTACTTTGCAGCTCCTGAGGTTATTGATAAATAATTCACTTCAGAAAACAATTTCAATCCCAGGAATAAACATAAACTAGTAAGCCACTAAACTAAAAGTTCGCGTTAAAGTAAAACATAGTAAAATTAAATGGAATGAAAAAAGGTTTACTTTAATATACGTTGTCAGGTAAATGATTTATCTTTATGGAATTGTTTTTTTTTCTAATTTATTTATCATAGTAAAGTAGTTGATTATGAAATATTTTTACCATTATTTCTTAATGATTATTTAAAATATACTTGTATTTTATTTCGTGAAATTACGTTTTTAAGTAATTTCTATTAATACAATTGTCAAACGAAGATTCATTTACACGCAATAGATTAACTAAATCTAAATTGAAACACTAACATGGACTCGCTCCCGATGATATAATTTAAATACACGTATTTTTCTAAATTGTTTGCATAATTCAAAACTCTTTTAAGACATTGGTCCCATAAACAAGTTTTTCTTGCCCTTTAACGAGAACTGTTACTAAAAATTATAAAAATGCTAACAAACTTTGCTTTACTTCATTTAAATGTTAATTGATGATAGCAACTAACATGTTTAGGAGGAATATAATTGTCCATTCTGTATAATGTTCACCATTTAAACTCTTTTTTTAGTAACAGTGACATGAACCTTGATAGAACATTCCTATGCGATGACTTTATTATAGCTGGCAATATACCAAATTTAATTGAACTATCTCATACGGGCCCTATAAAGGATAGTTAAATTTCTGTGCAATATAAAAATCTGAATCGCGCGCTTCACTTCACTCAAGTATAAATGGGCACATGTGAGGGCAATATAACATTGTCGCGACGTTAATCTGGTTAAAGCGGGAAGAATGAATACACATTGTACAAGCGTATTTCAGTTAACTGATAACCTGGGGTAAAGCGATGCAATCGGTGTAAAAGTCAAAGCCGTCAAACATTTTTAACTATTGATACTATTTTATATTTTATGGAGACTCACAGTTGAACTCAATTATTCCATCATTTTATATGTTAAATCGTTATTAATGAGTGATGAAATAGGAACGGCATTCATATCTAATTTAAATCGAACCGAAATTAGAGCGAGGAATCACAGAACTTGCGCTATTAATTTTCATCAACGGATTTCAGTTGCAACAAATAATTTGAAAAAGCAATATGTCCCAGTTATAAACGCTAACAATTAATTACAGTCTCATACGCATACTGAAACTGGATAGCGCTTATATCAATTTTTACTGTCATTTTTTTATTTATCATTTAAAGTTACTCTTTTATTAAATCTGCATTGGGATATTGAACGGAAGTTTATGTCCAACTGTTCTGCATAAATGCCATACGTCAAATTAGATGTTGATGGGTGTCGTCGCAATATTTTATGTGACATAAGAAATGCATATCAATAAATTATTATCAATTTTCAGTAAGTGATTATCCGAGAAATACGCTGACGATATAGAGCTTTTTGTATGAGCGTAGGTTCAATACTGAAGCTAATGAACGAGGTGAACAAACTGCATCGGCTTCAGTAAATTCTGTATTTCGCTTTTTAAGCGAGTATGATATTTTTTTATCACATACCAAAAATATAGACTGTTTGAAATGAAAAAAAGTCGCAAAAGCGGCTCGAGTATAGGAAAAAAGAAGGTAAATAAATATGTCAGGGTATCATGATTTCAAGTTTTAACTTTGTTAGATAGATACCATTTGTTTTGTAAAATAAAAGCTTATATTAAATATAACTATCGTAAATATATAGAGTTATTTTCATTTCAGGTAGTTTACATAATATGGAAGAAGAAAATGGCACATGGTTATTTATGTCATCTTAGTTGAACAGATTGCAGAATTTTAATAACATTTGACGATGATACGCTAGCAATTTGCTGTCCTTAATACAATTTATTTAAATGGCATGAAATGGACGATTTATTCAATTCGTCATTTTTCCACAGTTATGTAAGTATATCTAAAGTACAGCTTTCAGTCATACAATTAAATGTAGAATACTCTTCAAACTTGTCAAATGCTTTAACTAAGTGCCTTAAATAATTTCGGGTCTTTTTGAAACAGTGTTTTTAAAATATATTTCCTAGCAATAGTACACCCAATATATTAAAAAAATAACAACTAAAGAATTAAAGTATGGGCATATTTTCCATAGTTGCCTTATTTGGATATCTATATAAAATAATGTATCGATAAAAATGTTGAGTTCTAATAGGTGATTAAGTATGAATATTTATATGATGAATAATGATATGTTGTTCTAGAATTAGTTTTTATCTGGTATATATAGATAATACTATATAGAATCGTGTATCTCACACTTGAGAATATATTTTTTCGTAGTTATATATAAGTATCATATATATACATTTTACATACTTATTTTTTGTATTACCTACCGCCTTCCATTATGGATTAATATACTTTAATACTGATGAAACACTTTATTTTTTCTTTAGATATTGCCAGAAAATGATATACATTTTCATTATTTGTTCTGTCATTTTACACATGTATTTGTTAATAAAAAACAGTGAAAATGTGATGTAGTTTTCCAAATGAAGAAATCTTACGTTTAACAGCTATCATGACTGATTTGAGAAGGTGTTTTGTTATGGACATGTATAAGTTAACAGAGTAACAGTGAACATGAATTTACGAAGCTGTTTATACAGCTTTCTTACACAAGTACACATATAACTAATTTTTATATAATTATGTTGAGAATTATATAATTTTGAATAATACTAAAAGCAGTGTCACGTTGAACATAATAAACATTATTACACATTTAATAATTTATCATATATTGTGAGTGATTGTCATTGCGATATTTAAAATCCTATTTCCCTTTTCTCATTACAGCTCAACAAAATGAATGCACTGCCGCCTTGTATATTAGATGATTCCGTGACATTGAATAATTCAAACAGTTCTTCTGAATCTAGGCTTTCAAACTGCAGTACACCGGCCTTTGATGATTTCTTAGATTTTGATTTACCAAGCAACTTTGAATATCAGAAACCATCTGTTTATATAATCGGATTAAATTTATTCTCATACTTCACACCATTTATACTAGTAATCGGCCTTATAGGAAACGGATTATCGCTGGCTGTATTCACCTCAAAGAACATGCGCAAAATGTCTGCAAGTTCTTATCTGGCGGCGTTATCGGCAGCTGATATTTCTACCTTGATCTTCTATGTGTTTATTGAATGGTTACGAAGAGGTCTTGTCCATATTAACCCGGATACTGAAATTTTATTAAACGTTTTGAATAAGGACGGACCATGTCAAGTATTCCTGTTTTTGTCATACATATCTCGTGTAATGTCAACTTGGATAATTGTTATATTCACCATCGAACGGTTTACAGGAGTTTGTTACCCACTCAAATCTTTCAAAGGAAATTCTAAAAAGATCTTAATAGGCATGTTGATCATTGGCGGTCTTCTTGTGTTATACAAACCTATTCTTAGCGGTGAGTACATAGCGAGAGGCCAGGTCACTTGCAGTTCAAATCCAATGTACAGTTTTGGGTCATTTGTGTTGGATTCAATATTTGCTTTACTTATAACACTTGTTCCTTTTATCATCATAACAATTCTGAACATAATGATTATGCGAACTTTGTACTTAAGAAATTATCGCCATAGTGAACTTTTTGCGGAAACAACTAAGATACGACTTGAGTTTACGCTTATACTGTTAGCCATTTCATTCTTCTTTATTGCGTTTAATTTGCCCTATTCCGCAGTCTGGTTCAAAAATTTTATGTCTTCGAGATTTCTCAGCAATGATACCTATAACTTCAATCACAAAGACATTGACTACTGGAGGGGAGTGTTACACGTTACAAGAACTGTGTTTTATTTGAACTATTGCGTTAATTTCTTTTTATACAGTATCACGGGTGCGTATTTTAGAAATGAACTTGCACTTATGTTGCGTTTCAAACAAAGGAAAAACAGGATCTACAAATCACATATCCGTAGTAGCAGATTTGGCAGCTCAAATCATTCTGGAACAATAGCTACATATATGGCTTAGGCTAGATTAAGACAAATGTGATTTCTTAGAAAAATCCACACACCATCAGATAGTAAAATGAATATGGAAATAAAATGAAATTTTTAATAAACGGTTAATACTTTTATAGTCAGGTTAAATCTGTATATCAATAATTACTTACCTATTTGTTGACAATATCGTCAACAAAACGTGTTTTGATGGCATAATATACTGTCAATTTGACATTGTTCGTATTACTAAAAATATTACATTAAATTTATGCCGTTAATACTTATAGTTATGAATAAAATTCTGTTATTAAGTAATCCAAAATATCAGATAAAGGTTTCTTTCTCGAACGTTGCTTTGGTCATGTTTATTTTTTTTAAATATACAGTCTAATAACTTGTCTGGAGTAAAAATAAAACGTAATAAATACTTTGTATTCATCTACTAGCCTGTGTTAAGGAAACATATTGACGAACTATATGTGTGTGAATGGGGTTGGTACATGTCTGTGTTTTACATCTAGAGCATGTGTATATCAATATCTTCAAACATGTCACACAAGACAATGTTAATAGAATATACAAACAAATCATATTATCTCAAACTTAATTTAACATTGTTTCTATAATTTTAGTATATATTGTGTTTTTGTTAAAATGTTTCAACTAAATGGAGCTTAGATTTGCGCGCACAATGACGAATTATATGATCATTCGCGTACCATGGCAACATAACAATAACCCGTACAAAAGGAATATAAAATAACTGATTTGTTCCGATTTAAAGTTTTGTTGCACATTTAATTAAGGGTGTAAATGTATAATAAAAGGAATGTTAGATGCATGCGTTGTTCTGGTTGATTTAATTGCTGCTTGATTTACTATATAAACACAATTGCACAATTGCTACATACCACCAGAACAGCACATTCATGATACATTTCCTTTTATGTTACACATATTCTAAACATGAAACTTTAATCTTTGAAATATTTTTTTTTATTTTCAATAAACTTTAACGATGCTTCCTGCTATGTATTATTGTTTGAAGCTGTGCAAACAAGACAATTAACTGTGATAATACATAATATATAAGCCATCACATAATGTATGACTGAGTTTATGGGAACATAATCAAAATGGTAACACAACAAATACATCAGGAAGAAATGACGCTGACTTAAGAGCTATAAAATGTCATTGACCGACTTAAATTAGCTTTGAAGGACCTAGTGACATTACCGCTCTTTTTAAGCGCACATCCGTCCCAGAAATATCGTTTGTAATAAGACAATATCTTCAGACAGTTCTTAAGTTGTACTCGTATGTAATAGATTGAATATTATATTCGTGTAGATTCATTACTATTTTTTTTCTCGTTGACAGAAAAAAACATTATGCTCGCCAGCAGCTTGCATAACAGAATTTTATCCAACTCGTTCAATAAATTCAGTAATGACACTGCACTCATTCAACATCTTCTATATATTATAGTACATCAAATGGTTTATAACATTTTTAGTCCCCTACCGGTTTACCGGAGGGGACTTTAGGTTTACCCTCCGTCCGTCTGTCCGTCTGTCCGTCCGTCCGTCAGTCCGTCCGTCTGTCCGTCCGTCAGTCCGTCCGTCCACAAAACTGGATCCCGCGATAATGCAAAAAGTACTGAAAATATTTTAATGAAACTTGATATATGGATAGATGGCAGTATGGAGATTATGCACGTCTTTTTCTTTTCTTCCTATGTTGAAAATTCTGGTTGCTATGGCAACAAATAGACTGAAAATATGGCAAATTTTACACATAACCTGGATCCCGCGATAACGCAAAAAGTACTGAAAATATTTTTATGAAACTTGATATATGGATAGATGATAGTATGGAGATTATGCACGTCTTTTTCTTTTATTCCTATGTTGAAAATTCTGGTTGCTATGGCAACAAATAGACTGAAAATATGGCAAATTTTACACATAACCTGGATCCAGTGATAACACAAAAAGTACTGAAAATATGTTTATGAAACTTGACAAATTGGTAGATGGCAGTATGGAAATTATGCACATCCTTTTTTATCTTCCTATGTTGAAAATTCTGGTTGCTATGGCAACAAATAGACTGAATTTCAAGATTTCTGATTCTAGTTTTTAAGTTTTTTCACTATAAGTTCTTTATTTCTTAAGGTATTTTCTTCAAACTTTAAATATAAGTTGCTTGTCATCAACCACATCATATGTGACAAGGTTTACAACTCTAGCACAAAAATTATCAGAATTACCTCCCTTGAACTTAAAATTTTCATTAAAAAAACATTATTTTTTTTTTAATAACTTCTTTTTCTGAATGTATCTACTTCAAACTTCATATAAATGTTTCTTATTGTCACTCAACATTTGTGAGTGTTCAATACTCTAGCAAGACTATTAGGGAGAATTATGCCCCTTTTGAACTTAGACTTTTTTTTGAGAAATTGGTAATTTTTACTCCAACTTCTTCAATCATGATAGGATTTTAAAAATGTTATATTTTGATAACAGGGATGTTTAAAAAATAACTTTAGAGTGTCCGTCTGTCTGTACATAAAAACTGTTTCCTGTGATCACTTTTAAAGAACTTTTTCAACAAATTTACTTAAAATAGGAACCTAAGTGAATGGCCAATGGCCCTTCAGAATGTTGCTTGGGCTCTTACCGGTAGGGGACTTATGGATTGCTTGCAATACTATGATAATTGCTTGTTTCCAAAGAGGTAGCCCATATCAAAACGAAAAAAAAAAAAAAAATGACAACGCGGTTTGCTTATTTACATAAAAATTTTAAAATATGTTAAGATTGAAGTAAAATATTGTCAAGAGAAAAGAGAAGATAATTTACAAATTTCAGACGTCACTTAAAATATTCAAAAATACTTACAATTAGGTCAGGATATGCCCTTTATGCAATAGTCATGCAATAGAAATGTAGTGATAATTACTACAGAAATTAATTACATACAACATGCAAGTTATCTTTTGAATTATGAATATTTTTCACATTTCTATATATCTCAGTAGATTTTTCTCCAGGTTTATTTTCTTGAAATATGTTGGCTTATCTGAAGGCATGCATTTAAAAAAAATGTTTTGTGCTGCATAAATAGGTCGTCATTTTTATCCCGTAAAATTCCCATGTAAAATTAAAGCGCACAGTACATTAAACCTTCTCCGTCCATGCTCAAGAAATGCGAATCAGAAAGTTGAAAGATAGTTAATGTAATAAATATAATTTACTTAATGTTAATATTCTAAATGTTATAAATGATTCTTGTTATTTTAAGACGTACACATTTGTAAATCATTTGTTTGTTTTAATATATATGAAGGCATGTCTTGAAATTGTTATCTTTTTTTAAAGTAATGTGCTTCTGTTATATTATTATTTTGTGCTTGAAAGGTGTGGGCAACATAAGTATCTTTCAAAATAAGTTTGCTTCTCTTTTTAATTAAATAGTTAAGAACTTTAAATAATTGATCGTCAAATAATATTGAGTTTTTTTTCATTCAGTTAAAAGCAACATCTATTTTTAACTAAATATATTAAATGCTTACAAAACAAATATGTTCATCCATTCATTATTCTCAAATTGTTTGCTTTTAATATAAACAATTTATATCGGATAACAACGACAATATAACACTTATCAGAAAAGTTGTTGTCTTCAAATGTTAATTTGTAAAATCTGTAATCGTATCATTAACGCCACAACAACAAAATCTCATGCAATAACTATTCAGAAACAAATTTAATTTGTTATAATTGACAAAAATCGTGTTCATGCAAGGCTCTGATACCTAACATAATGTTTTATGTGAAATGTCATGTATTTATTGCGTCATCTAGCTTCATTGTTTCCATCTCGCAACTTTAGATTAAGAAACATTTAGATAGTTTATTGACGTGTTATAACAGACATGTTTATTTTTTGACTGATGGCTTTATATCCTTGTCGCAACATTAATGTATTTTGATACGAATGCACTTTGTTCGCTAAAGGTTTCAAATAATGAAACATTTCATTTTAATCACCTGTCATAAACGTGCATTACAATGTTGATAAATTGTATACCTTAAATCGAACAATTTGTGAAATGTTGCATACAATTTTTTCTTCACATAGCATTAATCTAAAATATAAGCTTATTTGATCGTTGATCACTGGACCAAGGCACGCGCTTTACTTCAAGAGGGCCCATTGACAGCTTTTATGGAATAGTAGAAATGTGTCACATTGACGAACCCGACGACGACAACAACAACAACGAAAATGTATTCGTTAAATATATTTCGTTAAGTATCGACATATCTTTTATTTTTAAAAATAAACAGCATTTAAATGTACGCATACATTTTGTAAATGCAGCCATAGTCAGCATTTACAATGTAAAGCTTTTTTCACAATATTAGACTTCGGTTATTTATATGGTTTTCCTTTTAAGACAATAAAACGTTATCATCATTATAACAAATGTGATATTTATAGAAAAGAAAAGTTTAAGTACCTTTAATTAGAACATGAACAATAGACTGACATGTTCACGCGTATTCTTCGAAGGGGCGTGCTTTACTTTTTTCTTTTTAATTCAGTGAATATGTACACAAGCAATCTTAACATCTTAATTGTAAGGGCGGAACAACATTTTTTTCACGACATTTATAGTTTAGTCAATTTCTAACCAAATCCGGAAACCATGCTGGTGAAACAAGTAGACCGAACTTCAAATCAAACAGAAATGTTTACTGATGTGTTGCATATATATCGGTAATGTCGGTTTATTGTTGGGAAGTCATTTATCAAAACGAACTGATTTGTTTAAAGGTGACTGAATGTCAGTACGTTCTCATTGAGATAGTATGATAATATGTTCCTATCATTCTAATATAATTTGGCGTTAAAAATTGATGTTTGTTGTTTTTTATTTTCTGACCGGAAAGACTATCTTCTATTATAGCAGTCATTCAACTCGAAAAATCTACGTGTACTGTTTAATCTGTATTAAAGAAGATACTATTATGTTATAGGATTGATGAACATTTGTAATGTATAAACTGATGACTAGAGACAATTGTCTGAGACTGACAAGTCATAAGTCTTCTTTTCATTTGATTCAACTCTTTGAAGAAACAAATGTTATAGTATAACAAGTTGTGATTTAATGGATTCAGCGTATCTTTGTTTTTATCAGATAAGTTATTAACGTTATCAATAATTTTTGGTAAGTCGACGCTGGTAAGCATGCCAAAATAACCATTTCGTTGAACATGCTTTACAGATTTCATATCAGTGATACAAATTAATTACTAAAAATCAAGGAAAGTATTGAAACATTAAAATTGAAACATTATGCAAGTAAAAGGATTATAAATATAATATATCATCCATGAACCCTATATGACCTGTACGTTTGAAATACCGGAAACAATACAATACTAGCTAGCAGAGATGGACAATAAACTATAAATGTATAAGAGCGATCGTTTCTTAGCATATCATTATAATGTCCATTTACTTAACATTAGTTTCTCAGTAATCTGAATAATTTTTGTATTAAATATCCCTACCCTTTGTCAAGGCCTTGTAGATAAGAGAAAAACAACTATCATGTATCATTAAAAACAGTCTGTCAATTTTGACTTTGCTTAACCAACGCATTTAGTATAATACTTTTATCAGTAGCCAAACAAAATGGAAAACACACAAATTTCAATTTTAGAATTTCAACAGTTGATAGAAGTAACTGTTCTAGAATAAGTAACATTATCACGTCAAATACATGTGGTATACTCGATAACATTTTCTTAACCGTTTTACATTCCATACTTTATTTTTATTAAAAGCTTTCAAGATAATTCCAAACTGTGAATTCATATGCCATTAGCAGATGTTACGGTTTGATATATATTCTTACTTTTTACTCCGAATTA